CGGACGGGGTAGCCTATCCCACGAGCTATTGTGTCGTAGATTCGATTGATTGAGAAAGGTTTATCGACGGCGCGCCGCGTGTCTATTGTAGCGGAGAACCATTGCTCTTTGCGGTACAATCGACGTTTCCAGCTTCATTTCAAACTAACAAGCTCGAGCTGAAAGTTTATAACGTCGCGTCTAAACCGATAGATCAAAGCGGATCCGTGCAAACGGATCGATCTTTATCTCGATTTTCTAAAACGTTCGAGGAACGCAGCCATCGTTTACGACGCTGGTAAAATGAATTGGCACTCTGGGAGAAGTACATTTAGGCGTTGGTGAGTTACAGTCATTATATCGAGAATTTCTCGAGAAAGAAGACGGGAGTTGGGCCAGATAAAACATTCACGAGACACCGTCGCGTGTTCACCTGCCTGGACGTTCGCGTGTCGTCGATTACATAAACGAGTAACGATATTGGACGGCGACTTTGGGAAAAAAAGAATAAGAGCGAAAACGATTTCTGAGCACGACTCAACATCCTCGAGCGTATCCGTAAATATTTCACGATTTTTGCTGCGCGACGAAAGACAAATCGTTTAAAAAGATAGCGCAAAGAGTCGATAAAGTCGAGGGGTGAAACTGAAATTTTGAGCCACGAGCAATGATATAACGTGCGTTCGCGAAAATCGATAAAATCGCGACGACAGATACAGATGTGCGGTAAACCGTAGCGATGCGATGCGGTTTTGTCACCTTCATCGTAAGCGTAATCTTAAGAGCGAATTGCCAAGGCAACTATCTAAATAACGAAGCGGTTTTCCGCTCATATTGCAACGGGTTTATTGTTTTCGACATTTTAGCAGCGTTTAAGTCTCAACGATTTATTAGCCGATCTATCATTTCCGCGAATTACCGAGAGATCGTCGCGAGGAGAGACGTGGTAAACTTCTTTTTCAATGCCACGTTTGTGTAATAGCTCACTCCTCCAGAGAATCTAACGTTCTTACGCATCTCATCAAGACTCTTCGATTTCTACTTAACGAAATGAATTTATTAAGATATTGACAAGTGAACCTACGTTCGTTAACTGGAGTAAACAATAAATATTTTGCTGTCACGTAGTGTATAGTTTAGTATAAATAATATTTCCGCCGTAGAGAGAAGTGGAACATGTGTGATATGCGCGCATTTATGTCCGCTGTAATTAACTTTGTTATCTTCGCGACTTTTATCTATTGGTGCAATTAACAAAATGCAACTGTCTTGACCGCGTTAGAGGCTAGTCCTACACGTTTGCGCAAATAAACCTTAGTAATGTGTCAATGAAACTTTTACAAGTCTCTTATGTATCTTGATATTTAATAGTCATATTATTGTAATATCATTTATATTTACAATTATTTCTTTTACACGATTACTTAACATATGTATAGATAAATTTATTAAATGTACGAATGTGGGAATATATGTTAAAATTACGTTTCTTGTAATTTGTAAAATAATAATTAATTAATAATAATTAAATAATAATTTTTATCTCTCATATGATTAAAACCATCAAGAATTATAAATAATGTATTTATTTAAGATTCTTTTTTTTTTATTTGTAATCATTCTGGTAAGGAAATAACGCGCAAATAACTAATATGCAAATTGTTATTAACTCTTATATAAATAAATGCAATTTCACTTCCTCTCTCTTTCTCTCTCCGAAACTACTATAATTGTTGTAATATTAATTAGAAAAATTTTTAAATCCAACAGAATTAAAATAAAACAAAGTGAAGTGAACGAAGAAATAAATGAAATTTTTTTTTGACGCTGTAGAAGATGTGCGATTAAATAAGTCTCATTGAATATGTATTAATTTAAATATAATCTACAATGGGCTCGAGCGTTACAAAAATAAATCGCTTGCATAAATACATTTAAAGCATATATAGTTTGTTAAAAATAGTGATTCTAGGGTATATATATTCATGCCGAATCCGCATAAAAATTGCATGTTTCCGCTGCCGCGTGCATAGTGATAGTAGTTGCCTATTACTAAGGACCGACCATTGTAAACAAACGAGAGACAAATGGAGACGCTAGCACGAGAGAGAAAGAGAGACAGAGAGTACGGAAATGCAGTTCTCGATGAATGAATGGATAAAATCAGGAAGATATCCCCCCGATCCCCCGCCCTCGATTACATCGTACCCGACGCGCCATCGAACGAGACACGCTGCCCCCCTTCCTCCCCCTCCTCCCACCCTTCCCGTCCATTCTCTCGACGGTGCTGTCCCGCAACACGAGATTAATTCCGCGGAGCTAGTCGGTCGGCCGACGAGTCAGCCTTGAACCAAATTACGGACTGCCGTTGTTTAGTTGTTTAGCCAGAGTACACGCTGCACAGAAATCTCGGCCGGAGGCACCTAAGGCGACGCTACGAGAGCGGCAACAGGCGCGATCCGATCGCGATCTCGCTCCCCTTGTTCCTCTAATCGGCACCGATTATTTTCGATAATCGACCGAATATCTCGGTTTAACGACGCGCGCGAGAATGCGCGTCGTTAAAATCGAAAAGATATCTCGATAAGCTACGACTTGTCAATCTAGCCCCTCAAGAATCTCTCTCTCGTTAGCTTTTTTAAAAGAAAAGTTTCATCTCGCGTATCCTAATCCATTGCGATGTTGCGCAAACGTACATTTGCACACTTGACGCGACAGGACGCGGTATTGTGAGTGTAGCCTTGAATTTACAGGCACGACTGCAACAATAGTTGAATAGAGCGCATTGGCACGCCAGAAACCGCAAACCTCGGCGAAGCGTACGCGCGACAGCGGACGGCAGAGCCGATATTCCGTGAACCAAAGCGAAAAGGTAGCGAGGTGGCGAAAATTAGCATGGCATCGAATAGAGTTACTTCGCAATCCGGTACGAGGATATTTTTACGCGACGTATAGCTCAAAAAAAGGCATATAGCTCGAAAAGTTTTTTCGAACCGGATCTATCCGACGAGATCGTTTGACAATTCGGATCTAAAGTCTATAAATTTCATTGTTTATTCTCATAACATATTTATCATTGCCTGGTATATTAGCTATCTGATATAGTTACCGACTTCCATCTTTATTATTATAGAGATCGTTGTCATACATAATTATTATTATCAACGTCGTCGTCATCGTTACTATGATTATTATCATTATCATAACGTCATCTTTGTTATTTCCATTCGATGTCTTAGCAATTAACACACATCATAACGTGACAAAGCATGTTCTCATAGCCTTGACAGCCGACCCGAACACTCCCCAGACTTGACGACTCTCGAGGTAGAAGCACGAATCTAAATAATCAAACAATTTTGTCAAGTCTTATTTATACAAAGTCAATCAAAAAATATATAAAAAGTACGTTTACGCGATGTATTTCAATTTTCGATGTTAGTAATTGACTGTAACTATCAATAATTTATAATATGCTAAAAAAATGAAACATATAGAAAGGAAGACGAGAAAAGATAGGATGGAAGATGATGGTTAGCTATTTTTGGATGAGCATTTTCAAGGCTACCGACTATCTTTATACTCTTCTTTCTTGTTTTTTGCATGACAAAATTTGATGTAAGAAATGTGATAGAAATATTGATACGACGACAACGTCGTCGATTAAATAATATAAAATGTCATATGATAGTTACCGACTTCCATCTTTATTATTATAGAGATCGTTGTCATACATAATTATTATTATCAACGTCGTCGTCATCGTTACTATGATTATTATCATTATCATAACGTCATCTTTGTTATTTCCATTCGATGTCTTAGCAATTAACACACATCATAACGTGACAAAGCATGTTCTCATAGCCTTGACAGCCGACCCGAACACTCCCCAGACTTGACGACTCTCGAGGTAGAAGCACGAATCTAAATAATCAAACAATTTTGTCAAGTCTTATTTATACAAAGTCAATCAAAAAATATATAAAAAGTACGTTTACGCGATGTATTTCAATTTTCGATGTTAGTAATTGACTGTAACTATCAATAATTTATAATATGCTAAAAAAATGAAACATATAGAAAGGAAGACGAGAAAAGATAGGATGGAAGATGATGGTTAGCTATTTTTGGATGAGCATTTTCAAGGCTACCGACTATCTTTATACTCTTCTTTCTTGTTTTTTGCATGACAAAATTTGATGTAAGAAATGTGATAGAAATATTGATACGACGACAACGTCGTCGATTAAATAATATAAAATGTCATATAGAAATCAGATATAACACATTTATAAAAATTATTAGATTTTCTAAATTATTAGATTCTTAATTATTAGATTATTTTAAATATATATACCTATACAGAAAAAAATATATGTATTCTCATGCATAAATTTCGATAATATTTAGCATAAATTTAAAAATGAAATAAAATCAAAGAATTCTTCTCTGCAAAAGAATATTAATGACATAGAAAGCCACAAGATGTGTAAAATTACAAACCGTCATTATACATTGTAGAACAAGTCCCCAATTTCGTGTGGAAAATGTATTATACCGTATACCGGAAGAGTTTTGGGAAAGAATGCATTATACAAAAGCAAGAGAGTAGTGTATAGTGTATAGACTGATCGTCAATAGCATTCTTAGTATGCTGCGTGTCAGTACATATCGTTAAAAAAGATTCTTTAATGGTATGAACAGATTTTACACATAATGCCGATCTTATTCGTAAAAATAGAAAGTTAGTGGCTTAAGAGTTGTAACATCCTCTCATTCTATTAAAAAAGATATCGTCAAACTTGCACAACAAAAAAAATAAGATTTCATTAATTATGCATATAATTAAAATCTATTTGACAATCTTTCAAGTCCTGATATTTTTTATATTGCACATGTGGTTTATTAATATTATCCGAATTTGTTATTCACGTTTTATGAGATATTATTAGATGTCTATATATATAATTAGAATTATGAATATCGTTAGAATTAATAGAATAAAATTGAATTTTCAGGGAAACAGGGCAAAGATGGACCAGAGGAAAAGAAAGATGCCGATGGCGAACTTTGGGGCAACGTGGAAGCGCAGGCCGCCTTCCTCGGGCCCACTCTCTGGGACAAAAGTCTGCCCTACGATGCCGACCTGAAGGTATTAAATCATGTATGTACAAAAGTGCGACACGGTAAGCCTTCAATTTGGCTGAATCTAATCCCAAAATTCCGAAAATTGAAAACAAATGTTTGTTATCTCTTGATTTGATCCATTAACTATTTATTAATGATGTCCATGCTCTCTTCAAATTTATGTTCACCGCATAATACGACGCGGAACTTTTTTATTTTGTACTCATTAAAAAAATTATTTCAAATTACTTGCGCGGATCTGTAAGATTTTTTTCTCGTCGGTTTCGGAAATGTACTTCGTGAAGCTCGTGTGTATCCCGGAAATTACTGTATGTGTGTATACGTTACGTAATAGAATGTAGAAACCAATGTAGCGGACCGCTGCATCGCCCCGTTGTAACACTTACTCCGTTATAATTCGCCTTCCTGGATCGAGAAACCGGGAAGCCGAATATTAAGCCGCTATGCAATCGTGACGATAGCGGCCGCTTTCTCCGTTATGCTTCGGCGGAATCGAGAAGAGAAGTTTCGGCTATTCTTCACTATTTTCCCCGTTATTATTTTTAGCTAAAATTATCTAAATAATTCGTCAAAAAATTATAATTTTCTTAATAAAACTCTCGAATAATAAAAAATTTATCTCTATTATTTTTTATAATCTCAATTAGATATAACATTATCTAAACAATTCATCGTCTTAATTTATGTGGCCTTGACTTATGTAAAAATATGTGTATATTTCATAATCAACAATTAAACCATTTGTTTGTAGAATATGAATAACGCAATTTTTAGAAAAGCATGCAATTCTTTATAAACCTTTTGCCAACTTTCACCACTCGCATTCCTTCCATCACGATACGCTGCTTAAATTTCGATAAAGAAACACGGCAAAATCACAAACGTGCAAAATAAAATGAGATGGAATGCGAAGATATTTTTCGCAAAAAAAGTATTGCAAGTTTTTTTCATTACACTTACAAGTTTCTCATGATACTGTGTGTTCTTTTAAAAAGTAATAACACAGAGTGTAGACAATTTTCCCATTAATATTAGTTTTACGATAGTTTTACAGGCCTATCTTTAAAGAATCCATATCCTAAGCAAAGTATTATCCGATTGTGTATTTTAATAGACAAAATATATACAATTCTTAAAGTTAATGTAAAAAATCTCGCGTTGGATTCGTTATTGATAGTACTGATTTAAAATCTATCCAAACTTGTCTAAGAGTGTAAGATATAGGCTCTGCTTAAAATTCACAAAATTCCGGGGGACCATCTCGGAAATAATATCTCGGATCTTTGTTAATAGTACGTCGATCTCGATGAGTTTCTTTCCGAAAATGGCATCCCCGTCGATGGTGTGGCTGGTGGTGGACAAGGTACCATGCAGGCTAGCCAGCTTCATAAAATCAACAATACCGAGGCCGCCGGACATCAGGGACCAGCGGGTCTGCACTTGGAACCAGTTACCAAACGCGAAAGATCACCATCGCCCAGCGAATGCTGCTCGCCAGACACCCTGAACCCACCCTCTCCCGCGGATTCCAGTAAGTAAAAAAGTTTCCCGCTCTGTTACTTTTATCTCTCGTCGTAGCCGTCGCTCGTGATATTGAGATCCTGAGAAGTGTTTCACACGATTTCATGTATATGTATATAAATATAAATAAAGGAATAAAATTTTTTCGAACCTCTAATAATATCTACCAGCATGTATGAATTAATCTAATATTTTTTGTTACGTATTATTAATTTATTTACTGTGCAAGCATGTATGCATTAATCTAATATTTTTTGTTACGTATTATTAACTTATTTACTGTGTATATCTAGAAAATTTGAGAAGAATGAATGACAATATATGTATGTAAAATTAAAAAGAATAAAATAAATTGCAGGAAATAAGGGATGCGATAGAACGACGTACAGTATTATCGAAAGTAAGGAAGCTACATATATAAATAGAATGATGAAAGAAAAGTATAACAAAGCGGCACTGATGTAATCGTAATTCATAAAAAGAGATAAAGAAAAAAAGACAAGAAATACACGCTATCTCAGAATCTGTATCGCGATAACGTCGTGCTTGTCGAGTACATGAAAGAAAACGTAGACTAACGTCGATATTGTCGATTGTTCCTCTTCCGCGCGATAGATTCCGAGGACTCGTCACGAATACAATATGGCTTGTCTCTTGTAGCGCTCTCGATGGCCTCATCGGGGCGAGACTTCGATCCACGTACCCGGGCCTTCTCCGACGAGGAGCTCAAACCCCAACCTATGATCAAGAAATCGCGGAAACAGGTGAGCCTTTATCGGAGCTATTTATTTCGTCCTTCGTATCATCGTTTTCGAGATGTCAAATTGGATCGTTGGATATCGCGATAAATTAAAATTCGTAACGCTTCGCGCGACATAATTAAATACGAACGTTCTAACGTTCTTATATTCTCTTTCTCTCTCGCTTCCGTTTACGGCAGTTCGTTCCGGATGACTTGAAGGATGACAAATACTGGGCGCGTCGTAGGAAGAACAACATGGCAGCGAAACGATCGCGAGACGCGCGTCGCATGAAGGAGAACCAGATAGCACTCAGGGCCGGCTTCCTCGAGAAAGAGGTGAGTTTTCTCAGGGAAACACTCTTTCATTGAAGTGGAAAAAATAAAATTGTAATAAACTGCTCTCATCATCAATTTATCTACCGTTCTTTTTCTTTTCCGCGAGTGATCTGTGAAGGATTAAAATGCATCGTTCTCATGGACATTATACAAGAAAAAGATTTAATCGAATCTTCACTTTTCGCTTCATTTGCAGAACATGGGTCTGCGACAGGAGTTGGACCGGTTAAAAAACGAGAACATGTTGCTGCGCGACAAACTGAGCAAGTACACGGACGTCTAACATCTCGTCCTCGATAATGCATCAGCCCGAGCGATACACGAAGAAGGAGAGAGACATAGAGAGAGAAAGAGAGAAAGAGAGAAAAAGAAATAGGGAAGAAAGGGAGAGAGAAGAACACGAGGGTGCATAACACCAGCTGCAGCCCCCTTCTTACTTACACTCGCAGCACATAGCAGTCTTCGTGTCTTTGCGGAGAAGCCAAGAGGATGCAGAGCACGTTGACGAATATTACCAACTCCCGAACCCGACTGCCGCCGTCCTACAGAGCCGACAACTTTCGGAGAAAAATCTTCGAGGACCTCTATTCTCTATCTTTCTCTCTCTCTCTCTTACTTTCGCGAATAAAATTTTTATCGAGTCCTCGCTCCTTGTCCCGCTCTAGAGAAAACTCCTTCTCTTGTAAATAGTTATATGTATAGTTAGATTATACACACATATACACATACATATACATACAAACACACATACGTACATTTGCGTGCGAGCGTTATATATGGATATATATATATATATATATATAAAAAGAAAAGATTATATATACACACACATACATACACGAGTATCTACATCTGAGGAAGGAGACCATAATGTCATACGTACATAAATTCGCGCATGCAACGCTCGACGAGATGCGCCGATTTCGCGACCGAGTCTTCTAAATTTACATCGTGCCGTATTTGGAAGGAATTATATTGTGGCGAGAAAATCAGCTGTCTATAAGGCATAAGATTCGACCTTTAATTCGGCGAAGAAAGGGCGAATCTCGTCGACGTTGAGCACTGCCACACATAAAGGAGCTATATCGTTCGATTAAATCGACATGGAGCGGAGGCGAGCGAAGGCTGAGAGAACTCGACGCTTTTCTGCGCACGAGTTAATTATCCTGGTTCTTCGAGAATGCGTTAATTACTGTAGCGTATCCCACGTGGTGATGGTACACAAGTGATTCTAGTTGTTTTAATCGTAAGATAGATGATATATACGTGTTTTGTTTTTTTCAACGCTTCTCTTTTCTTCCTCTCTCTCTCTCTCTTTCTTTCTCTTTCTTTCTCTTTCTCTCACTCACTCGCTCACTATCGATCTATCTATCTATCTTTATTTTAGCGTGTAGCGAATCAATCCGGCCACGCGAGGAGTGCGCGAAAGGCGTCGCGACGCGACTCCATTCTTTTCTTCTTTCGTAATATCGCCCAATATCGGCGGCTCGGAATACGAACAATGAACGGGCCAATCCCGAGATATCCCGAGATATCCTTCTACCGCGTAGCGAACAAATTTTGTACAGGATGCCCTCTTTTGTAAAATATACTTTAAGATGCATCGAGTCATCCTGACAAGAGCGACGGTTACGCGCTGTGTGTCTTTGACGGGATTTATTAACGCGGGGTTGGAGACGAATGGAATGAAACCGTACCGTGTCCGACGATCGAATCGCGTAGCCTCTAACACAGATGGATGTGTGCATCGTCGATGTTAATCGTAGGCGTCATAAGTAAAAAGAAAAGAAATGTTACACGAGAATACGAACCATCCGTGCTTAAACATAAGCTAGTTGCACAGGCTCGCGTGTGCACTGGCCCCTTTCCTTCCCGCCCCTCTTCTCTTTTTAAGTTTTTAGATGTTTATTTTTTCATCACCGTGTGAGAGCTCGGTGACGGTGATCGAGAGAGCAAAAGCGAAACCGACTAAGAGAAATGCGCTTTTTTATGAAATAACTATATAACGAGAATCTATATTGTACAGATCAACGCGAGCTCGAGAACAATATCTGAACTAGTTCTGCTCGTTGCAAAATTTAACGATAATAATCAAATACCGTGCGTTTCGAACATTTCCAGCAGCGTGGCTCCGGGACAGCCAAAATAACGAGCGGAATTTGTAATCCAATCGCTACAATTAATTTTGAGAATAATTACGAACGGCGAGATGACACTTTCAGTTTCGTTTGACGTTTGGGCATACAGGCGATAATACGTAATGGCCTTGTTTTCCTCTCGTACGATGCACAAACGCGAAACGCAAAGGTTTTGTACATATATTCTTTTATCGGCCAGGAGGGTAAAACAGATCATGTTATGAGATTTCAATTTAACTTCGCGTTTGAACGACGGCAAATCCGCTTTAGATATTGCAGGACGATTTCGCGCGCAAAAACTTAAATTTTATTCTCGTTTTATTCTCGTTATCCTCGTATTTTAGATATTATTGATATTCATTTATCATGCATATTTTTATTATATACATTCGTTATATACGTATAAAATCGTATACGTAATTTTATCGGAGTGTAGAATTTATATTTTGTAGATATATGTATATGTAATAGATCATTGTACGTTCATGCGCGAACGCATTGATCTCATTGTTGATTGATGATTTATCGTCATTAAAATGATTTGCCGAAAGTCGCGCGCGAAATCGTTTCATACACAATTCTCCACGATTGCCTTGCACATTTTGACAGCGAAATGCTGCGCGTATGACGATGAATTCGACAAGCGATGAATTATTGAATCGATATCTTGCGTCGACAGATTTAGCAAATATCTTCACCGATCTAGAATCATATATAATTTCGATAGCGGCACAAAATTTTACTTTCCAGAAATGTTATATCGTAAATTAGCGTTACCTGATAAGATAATCATTGCATGGCTTTTCATTCCGACGCAATGAGTTAAAGAGAAAAAAATTAGTATGATATTGCGGCGTGAAAGCGTAAGAGCGAGAATGAAATTTCGCGTTTGATTGTATACGAAATTTCTCACATCATTCTTATAAAGAATATAACGTAGAATGCAGAGAAGTTTTTAATTATTTACGATATCTACTTGAAGATTAACGCGAGCCAATATCAAGTTCGTGCGATATCAAGTTCGATGCGTGTTCTGCTTTTTACGCACGCTCGTCATCATTAAGGGCAATACGAAATTTTGCAAAAGACAAAAACGATTTTTTCGTGTGTACAACATTTATACATATAACACGGTAAAGTATTTAAAATGATCTTTTGTTTGTCGTGGGCAGGAAACAAGATTTATAATATCGAAAATCGATCGTATTGTTGGCGTACAAATGTAACTTATTATTAACTCATTTTCCGATCACACCGTCCCGGCGCCATTAATGATGCTGAATGTGCGGTATGATGTGGATCTCGGCACAAGTTACTGGCCTATAAAAAGCGCATTAGCATGATTGACATACACTGCAATCCGACGATAGTAATAATAAATAAAATAGTAGAGAGTTATATAGCAAGCGCGACAGACGCGGCCGCCGGCTTTGCTCCAAATAGAATGGTAAGAAAATGAGATAGAGGACACTGCCGCGTCTTCGATATAAATAATCGTCCGATCCACTTAAACAAAATATGGAAAAAACATGAGAAGAATTAGATATGACCACCAACACAAGAAACCTATTGTATCACATTTCGAGAAATATATGTATTTGTTATTGTTTTAATTGAACCCTACGGTTGTACACCATATCCCATTTTTCCACATATATATCTCCTAATTTTCTTATAATATATCACTAAAAAATTTTTAATATGTCTCATATATAGAGAGAATTTCTTTAATTGGAAAATATTTTATATATGTATATGTGCTCTACGTGTGCATATATTACAGAATGATATATAGATTTTGTATCGATACCTTTCGACGGCAAAAATGTAATCTTTCTATATCAAGCAAATTTAATTTTTATTTTTCAAACCTTATTATCGAATTTCGTCACGTAAGCATTCTTTATATGATTAGCTGTTACCATCGATGTCTCAAAATTTTCAATGTCCGTTGAAAATATAGTTGAATGGTAGAGTATATACAGGGCAATCTGTTATTTATTATTATTTAGTATGTTTCGTCCACTGACTTTTCTAACTCGCTTTTCGAGGTACTTTTCATTTCAAATTAAATTTTCGAAAAGATGAAAAAATATGATACATTAATTATTTAAAAAAATTAGATATTAATAAAACTTAATCGCGCGAAAACAATGTCAAATAAATACATATTTAAATATTAAAATATTCAAGACTACATGAGTATAATAAATTATAATTGAATGAATAATAAAAGAAGGAGAAGAGAGAGAAGCATGTAAAAGCAAGAACGCAAAAATATATTCGTTAAAGTGCTATGTTTTTTTTTTAAATGATTGAAGAACATCGATAGAGAATTTCCTTGAATTATAAATTATTATTGAAAAAAATTATATACATATATAATATAATATAAAAAAGATAATATAAATCTTAGATAAAGATGTGTGTGTTTGTGTAGTTGAGTGTTGAAACATATATTGTAAATTGATAGCAATGATACAATATACCTCAAGAGATTATAAATGCACATACACATACTCGTCACACATACACCCATACACAGCACACAAGCGCCACTTTCCCCTACCATTAAAACTGACTATGATGACTGGGCTGTTGCTTATAGTCAATTGTACAGTTCAAGGCAGTTATACGTTCCATGTAAGACGAGAGAGACGTACACCATGTGGAAGACCACGACGGTGATCTTGGTTCTTACCATTGGTATAGCTTTCTTGTTCCGGTGAGTGCCCAAGTATCGAATAGATCTTGTTCGAAACATTTTATCAAAGACCTTTACAGAGCGCAGGGAGTGTTTCATCTTTGATTAATAATTTTGTAAATGGAATTTCAATATTCTCGTGGAAGTTATAAATAAGTAATATAATTTATTATCGTTCAAGAGGATTTAAAGTATTAATTCCGTTACAGCAATAAACCTATAGATGTACCAGATTTACCTGAAACGTTCTGGGGACCGGAAAAAAATAAGGTGGCCTCGAAAGAAATAAGACCTTTCGTTATTAATATACCAAAATCGGTAAGTCATGCAAAACAAGTATCTCATTATGTCAATGTATTCATTAAGATAAATAATACGTTTTCAAGATCGTATTCTATATCTTTACTAATCTGTTATGTAAGATATATCATTGCATATGCATAAAAAAAACACGTATTATTTTTAATAAATATTAATTTTTTAGTCGAAACTATTTCCAATGTATATTTGCGTCAAATTTGTTGCTTTGCAATTGTTATCATTATTTAACATACTGATTCTATACCGAATAATCATCGTATATTATTAACGATAGCGACGACCAGTTTTTCTGAATAAAGATGCCTGGAATTGCATCAACAAGCTTATTACATAAAATGGCTCTTAACTTATCGTGAATATTTTTAATCGATTAGATAGCAAGACAAAAATAGTCCAGCAGTAATGCTCACTTTTTTTACAAAAACATCACAAATCTTTTAAGAATTGTTATTCATATTGTCGAATAATTCAGAACGTTATTATAAAAATATACACAAAAGCTACTATATAAACCAGAGTTCTTAGTAAATTGTGTGGTCTAAAGAAAAAAAAAATATTAATTTAAAAGAACGTGAAAAAATCTTTTTTTAAAGAACCAAAAGAAACACATTCTTATGTAAAATACAATTTCTTGAATAAGGTAATCGATGATCTGAACGAACGGCTCGTAAAAAAAAGAGAGCTGGTAGAACCGTTGGAAGACGTTGCGTGGACTTATGGTATCAGCACGACATATCTGAATAATATTCTTGAACATTGGCGTACAAAATACAATTGGACTGAACGGCAGGCGCTTCTCAACAAATATCCTCAATACATAACCAATATACAAGGTAATAAATTCTGTTGTCATTGTTCAGCATTATATTTTTAAAAATAGCGTTCGCGAATATTTTATTGGGAAAATTTGTTCCAAATACAAGTTGTGGCATCGTGCTCCCATTATAATTTTTTTTCTTCTTTTCTCGGCTATTATTGTTTCTTCCGTTTACTATTAGCGGATAGCAATAAATGTTGATCTAAATAACCATTCACGATTTAACCGTACATATCCGTTAGCGTTTCGTTACTCGGATATTAAGCAAACTAAAAACGCTTTGATAAAAACAAATGATGCAAGCTTTCTTTTGTTATTGTTATGCTAAAATTGACCCTGTCTTTATTGCGGAAATACAAAAGTGCAAACGGGTCAGGTGATTAATTCATGTAAAAGAACAATCGCGTCCGTTAAATGTATTTTTATTTACACCAATGAAAGTTCGACTATTATAATTAGCTTGTTTATTAGTTACTAATCGTCTGTTATATTATCTGTTAATTAGCTGTGCAATATTATTTCTTTCTTTTTTCTTGTCAAAGAAATCTATTTAATTATATACATAGCTAATTTTTGAAAAACTTAACTCTAAACGTGAAATAAAAGTAAATTGAGATTTTTTGACATTTACAGGTCTGGACATACATTTTTATCACGTGAAACCATCTATTCCACCGAATCGGAAAAATATAAAGGTTCTTCCGTTATTGATTATTCACGGTTGGCCAGGATCCGTGGTGGAGTTTCAAAAAATTATTCCCATATTAACGACGCCACGTCCCGACAGAGATTTTGTATTTGAAGTGATTGCACCTTCACTTCCCGGATATGGATTTTCGCAATCGGCTGTACGACCCGGATTAGGCACACCACAGGTAAACTCCATTTAAAGAATGCGCAATGGTCTTGCTAAATGCTATATATATATATAGTGTATTCACTATACTATTCAAGACATTGTCACGAAAGAACAAACTGAATTAACAAATATTTAATATTTACCCTTGTGCAGCGCGAGCGCGTGTATATACAAACATTAATAATTTATTTATTTATTTACTTTCAGATAGCTGTTATATTTAAAAATCTCATGTTGCGTCTCGGTTTTAACAAGTTTTACGCTCAAGGAGGAGACTGGGGCTCCTTTATTACTGCACATTTAGGAAGTTTGTTTCCGGACAAGTACGTATTATATACGAGGACTGACAATTAAGTTCGTAGAAAATATTTATTACAATTACAGAACACATTTATACGTTATCTAATACACGGTCCCTTTTAAAATAGTCCCTTTTTAAAGCAATGCATTTGGTCCAATGTTTTTTCTATTGCAGGAAGCAATCTTCAAAATCATTCTCCGTGAGACTGTTTAGAGCACGCGTCATCCATTCCACCTCCACTCGTGACCCCCAATGACGATTCTTCATGTCTTTGAACTTAATTGTCTGTCGTATATGATAATACTAATAAGTGGACAAGATTTAATGTACAAAATATAAAAATAACAATCGTTTTCTTTTAGCATTCTTGGCGCTCATATGAACATGTGTTCAACGAGTTCAAGCAAGTCTATGCTCTGGGTGTTACTCGGTGCTCTTGTTCCACAATTTGTGGTAGAGAATCAACATTATTCTAGAATGTATCCTTTGAGTGACCATACGAGTCGGTTAATTGAAGAATCGGGATATATGCACATACAGGCTACCAAACCGGATACTATAGGTATTTGTTTATAGGGAAAATTTTTTTCTAACGTAAATTTAATATAGGAATGTATATGTTTATAAAATCTTAATTCTTAAATATTAAATTCACAAGTGCATTTTCATTAAAGTAAAATTGCAACGACCATCACTTTTCTTTTCTTCGTTTAGATTTTTAGATAATAAAGATATATCAATATCACATTATTAAATATTCAAAAAAATGTATACAAATGCAACTTATTGAAGAGTTAAACCAATCGAAATTTTTTTAAAGGCACTGCCGTGGCAGCCTCACCAGTAGCACTGGCAGCATATATCTTGGAAAAGTTTAGTACATGGACAAATAACGAATACAAACTTCGTTCTGACGGCGGTCTACTCGAGAAATACACTTTAGACGAGCTTCTAGACAATGTCATGCTTTATTGGGTTACCAATTCTTTGACTACGAGCGTCCGAATTTATGCTGAGCAATTTACTGCAAAACATAGATCAAGCAATATAGACGAGTGAGTGTGTCTTTCTCTCTCTTTGTTTTTTGCAAATTTGCTTTTCTATAAAATTAAAATTTTTTTCTTTTTTGAAGTTTATTAAAAAAAAAAAAAAACTGGTTTTATCTATATCTTCAATAATATACGTCGATCTAATTTTTAGATTGCCAGTTCATGTACCAACAGCATGTGCGGCGTTTCCTCACGAACTAGCGTATCAATCGGAGAGTATCGTTCGTGACAAATTCATTAATCTAATACAATTTAATCATTTACCGCGCGGAGGTCATTTCGCCGCATTCGAAGAACCGGGACTCTTAGCGGATGATATTTTTGAATTCGTGTCTAAGACTGAAGATCTTAGGAAGAAAGCTGATGATAAGGATGTACCAAACACAGGAAAGAAAATAAAGGAACCTACGAAAATTTAAAAACAAACTATACTATACTATATTAACTAAGGGCACAACAAAATCTATGATATTGGAGAAGCTAGATTTTTTTGTTACTAGCAGAACCAGTATGTGGTAATATTTTTTCTATTTTTGCATGTGTAAAAATTTTTGAAATAAAATGATTATTTTCCATAATGCTATATTCTCCATTTAAATAACATTTTCACTAACACACATCGCGATTATTTTTCCATAAACTTTTATTTATTGAAATTATTATTTACAAATTTTTTTTATTATTTTTTTGTTTCAATAATTTTTCCGAATCATTTTGAAATTAACATACGTTTAATAAGAAGCATATTTTAATATAAATCAATATTATAACGTAACACAGTTATATTATTATTATTATTGTCCGTTTGCTTAATAAACAGCTATGTCGACGAACAGACGAGTCATACTGATGATTGATAAAGAGAGAAAGATAGAGAAAGGAATAGGCAACACATATTATAGAGATTCTTTATCAATATCCATTTTTTACAGTAATGCTTTTTCCTGTGAGCTGGTCATAAAATTACGATAATAGAATAATCTTATATGATACATGTGTATATATTTGAAATTCTCGATTTAATCTTTTATCAGTTATATAATCTTATATTAGATATTTGTAACTGTAAAAATTACAGAGAAAAAAAACCAAATCTTTTTTCGGTCACTTGCTTTTTAAGGAAACCAGCTCTTATATGCAGTTTTAATATGCAGTTTTAATATGCAGTTTTTCTTCATACTGTGACTCTTGGAAATTGAGGCTTTCCGATCCATTCACAGGATGCGACCGGATCTCACCAGGCGGCAAGTAACAAAGGACCCCCTAAGAATGTGTAGAAGGGACAGCGACAGACCCTCGCCGAACCCCAAATGTGACGCATTGCGTGCACGCAAGTGCGACAAAAACGAACCGTATGCGTTAAATAGTTTTGCGGCATTCATAGAAATTCGAATCGCTCAATCTCAGTTTAATCCCCGATGC